AAAGCCAAGAAAAAAAGGAGGTTGCAGAGGTGATTAAAAGTGATTACAAATATAGAAAGCCATAAATAAATACTATCAACTCAAAGAAGATGGTGTCTAAGGCCTAAACCATCAAACTTATGAGGACAATTACACTACAAGCATGCAATACAAAGCTCAAATGTAACAAGAAGTTAAAAACAGTCCTAAACACAGTACTAAATAAGTCCTAAAACATGCTGGAATTAAGACAAGAATAGCTAGAACAATAAGCTAAAACATAAAGCTATGTAAGCTAGTGAGCAAGACACAAAAAGGGGAGGCTAACCCCTCTAATTTGGACTTTAAAAAGTGTTTTTAATCACTGAAATAACTTTGAAATTTAGTATTTAAAAGCTCAAAAAAAGTTGATGAAAGAATGGGAAACACAAGTGTAAAAGCTTAGGAAACAAAGTGTAAAGAAGGATAGTTAACCCCTCTACCTTTAATAGCCTAAAACCACAAGCTTCAGCCCATAAAAATAGTCCAAAAATGGTTCAAAAACAGCAAGAAAAGATGGGAGAGAAGTAGTGTAGAGATGCTCAAAATTATACCTCTTAAAGTAAGGTTACTTTTTTGTTCATAAACCAACAAGTTTTCACTCTCAAGGGCTGAAATTTAGACTCAATAATCTCAACAAGGAGAGCTCCAATATTGGTTTAGGAAGTGTAGAGAGAGGGTGTATAGGTTGCAAGATAGAGATAGAGAGAGAATTTCAAGTTTTTGAACTTTTTGTATTTTTTTAAACCTTAAACCATGAAGGAAGGTCCCCTATATATAGAAAAATAGCCCCTTAAGTCGAAAATATCATGCCTAGAGCAGCTAGAACTTTTGGGGGATAGTTGGCCAAAAATATCTGTGTTTTTCACTAGTGGCCGGCAGGCCAAAAGTGGGAATTGCTGGCTACCTATCGGCTATCAAAAATCTACTTCCAGGCCCGACTTCAAACAGGCATATCTCCTTCATTTGGACTCGATTTTAGGTCATTCTTAAGTCTAAATTGAAGCTCCAGAAGTCTACTTTCCAATAATTGAAGCCTAACATCTAAATTTTAAGTGTATAGAGATATGCCTATTTTAGTAAAAAGTTGCTAATTTCTATCTTAACCAGATTGATGCCTAACTTTAAACAGCCATATCTTCCTCATCCGGACTTGACTTTAGAAGATTCTTGAGTCTAAATTGAAGCCTCGTAAGTCCACTTTCCAATAGTGGTAGCCTCACAACTAAAGTCTAAGTGTAAAAAGAGATAGGCCTGATTTAGTGAAGGATGCTCACTTCTCTCTCAACGGTTTCAAGCCTAATTTCTCCCTAACTAGTTTTCTTCCCTCTCCTCCAATTTTCTTCAACTCCAAACCTATAAATAAGAGGTTTAAAGATTTTTCAAAGAGTTCACCTTTCTTTCATTTATTTCTACTTTGTCTTTGCTCGGTTTACCGAAAAGTATAATTTTTAACAAAATGCGAGCTTTAGAACATTGTAGAAACATTTTCAAAAATATTTTGAAAAAGAGGGTTTTAAGGTCTAAAAAAAGTTTCGGTCCAAAATGGGGGGTAAGGTTGGGATTAGAAGCTCTTCTTGCTGAAGAAATCGAACATTTGCACAAAATAACTTTTATCATCGAGTGATCAACCTTAGGCGCAAAAGTCTTAAGGGCAATAAAAAATAGGGTGTCTACAAGTACCATTTGACAGTTTCCCATGGACGAAATATCCGTGAAAAGTTGTACCGGTTTGAGAATTCCTCATTGTTTTCTGTTGTAAAGGACATGATTTGAGAATTGAGATATAAACTGATCGTGACATGGTTTTGAGAAAGAAATGTAAAATGTTGTGGTCATAAGCATTGCATATGCATTCAGCCTTATATCTTTATTAAGACTCATATATTGTGTTGGATTATTTCTACTGGGTTTTGACTCACCCTATATGGGAAAACTATTTTCAGGTGTTGGTGATATGCCATCACCAAAGACTTAGCTTGGGAGGACTATGGAGCTGAAGGTTTGGTTTTATTATTTTGTATTTAATGTTGTACAAGCCTAGGCTTTATTTGTATTGAGCTTAAGACTCACTTTAGATGTACCCAAGTATTGTCTTGGAAAGTTGTAGCCTTCAGGGCATTTCTATTATCTGTTGAACTTCTATTTTACATTTTGTTGTTGACACATGCTATAGATTCAGGGTTGAGATTTATGAATGTATATTTACAGGTGTCACCTCTCTTGTACAGTTGCGTCTTATGTAATAGAATGACATTATACTTGGATTTATATTGTCATTTAATTATCGTTATGAATGATTTATTATATTTATTTCAAAGCGTTACATTTTAGAAATATCTTAATTTTATCATTTTTTTTAAATCTTAATTACAGTTAATAGTAATTAATATAACATGTGACTATAATAAATTAAAATAAATGTTTGTTATGAAATTATTATTATCTCTCTCACTTGAGATGATGAATGAATGTAATAGATGATATAATAAAAATTTAAAATCTAAACCAAATACTATTTTTTTTTTGGTTGATATTTTTCGGTATCTGGTTCCTTTGTCCCTGTCATTACTCTTTGGTTATATCCAACTATAAGGATCAATTGAAAAATATTGGGACCAATAAGAAATCAGGGAGAGATTTTAAGAGACAACAAAAATTTGAGAGGATCAAATCAAATTTACTTAAAATTTAGAGACAAAGGAGGGTGCCCCCGACTCCTTAATAGTTCTGTCACTATCCCCAAACTACCAAACCAGTAGCAATGTTAAACAAATCATAGTAGTCACGTATTTATACTAGTTCTCAGTAATCGTTTATTACTAAAGATTAATTGAATACCACTTCTCAGTCTCGTTAATAATTATAATAAATTAATATAATCATGTAATTAGGTTAAAAAATAATTTTCATGATTTCCCCTACGGATTCTATAGTTTTAATTATTAATATTAATAAGGTTCATAATTCCATTATTAATGTGATTTGAAAAGAGTGAAGATTGAGTACCCACTTTAGCATGCCTCCATTTAGGAAGTGGGTTGACTTTTTAACTTTTTTGGTTATTTTAGCCTGGGCTAAAAAATTTGGTTTGGAAAGAGTTTTTTGACGTTTTGGTTTTTTTGACTTTTTTGTGAGAGAAGAATGTAATAATTATGAGTTGGATGTGATGTTTTGTTTGTTATGGCTAAAATAGCCTATTTTGTTTTTTGTGGCTATTTCAACCTCAAAACCACTTGCCAAACGCCAATATGCTTTAACTTTTTATTTTTTTTTTATTTTTTTTTTTGTAAGAGGCAATTTTTTATTTTTATAAACAACAAAACAAAAAATTTGTTGGTGTACATAAAATTTTGAAAACAAATGGAAAAAATAAACATAAAAACACATGTTTGATGAATTTATGGAACTAATGGCTATAGAGGGAGGGTGTGAATGGATGTGGTCGTGGTGGGGGTGGACAAAGTGGGTGATTAGAGTGTCATAAGAGGCTATGGGTGACTAGAAGGCCATGAGAACATGATCGGAGGTTACATGATCATCTGATTGCCGAAACTTGTCGAAATATGGCCTCAAGGCCCCAAGCTCATTGGTGGGTTACTAGTAGTTGGCGATTGTTGGTGGTGCAAGGTGGCCGGTAGTGGTGGTGGGTGATGAGCGAAGGAAAGAAAAAGTAAAAATTTGGTTTAAAAACAAGTGAAAACAAATATTTTCTATTTTTAAAATCAATTTTATTTTTTTGAAAATAAAAATTGTATACCAAACAATTTTTTGTTTTCCGTCTACATATATATATACTAGCGGTTGGGCACACACGATGTGTGTGCAAATTAAATAAATAGGAATAAAAGAAAATAATAATAAAATTAATATTATAATGTGTACTTAGTTTAAGTGGTATGAGTCCTCATATTTAAACCCATGGTCATGGGTTCAAGCTTTGCCCATCTCTTTTTTTAACTTTTTTTAAAAAAATAAAAAACACTGCCACATGGCATAAGGAGAGTAAAGCAAGCTTCAGGACACCATATTATGTGTTCACTTTATAATAGTACTAGCGGTTGGGCACACACGATGTGTGTGCAAATTAAATAAATAGGAATAAAAGAAAATAATAATGAAATTAATATTATAATGTGTACTTAGCTTAAGTGGTATGAGTTCTCGTACTTAAACCCATGGTCATGGGTTCAAGCCTTGCCCATCTCTTTGTTTAACTTTTTTTAAAAAAATAAAAAATACTGCCACATGACATGAGGAGAGTAAAGTTTCATGACACCATAAATTGTGTTCACTTTATAATAGTATAGATAGATAGATAGATAGATAGATATATATATATAAACAGTACCAAATGAGGCCCGTCCTTAAATTGAAACACACAAGAAGATATAAAATAAAATTTTGCATGCATGATCCCTCCCTCAAATATCTAACACCACAAGTAGTCAATCTCACTTCCAAGGAGGGACTGAAGCCATATATCAGTTATATTTTCAAATAGTCTGGAATAAATATTTGATCTACACTTTATATCAATCAATTTTTCTAGAATGGCTTTGTTCAAGTCAAAGTGTATATTCTTGTAATCTTTGTACTCAATTTTTTTTTCTTCTAATGTAACAAATTACCTACCAAAAATGAAATAATAAATAAATAAAATGAGTAAATAATTGTCATATGAGATTTCATAATCTAGCAACAATTTACCTATTAAAAAAGAGAGAATAAATAAATAAAATGAGTAAATGGCTGCTATACGAGGTTTCATAATCTAACAACAAATTACTTACCAAAAAAGAGAAATAAAATAAAATAAAATAAAATGAGTAAATGAATGCCATATGAGGTCTCATCCATGACAAGAACGTATCACAAGTTAAAATGTACATCACACCAAAAATATAACTAATAATTTAACAGAAAATTTAAATAGTAAGACGAAACTCAAAAGACAGGTATTCATTTTCTCATCTTAGGAATAAATATGCAATTAAAGAAAATCAATATAACCAAAACTGAATAACTATTAAGCAAATTGTAAAATAAGTTTTATCATCTCACAACATACAAAGTGCAAATAAAACTTTAGCATACACAAACTTGCTAATAAATTGCCCACTACTCTTTCGTGTCACAAAATAAATCGATTTCACAAAGTTTTGAGGCCGTTCGAAACTTTCGTATACTCTTGAAAAATTTCCTCTCTTTGGCTCGAGTTAAATTGCAAAAATCAATTCTCACCATATTCAGCGCTTCAGTATTTTCCAAAAAATACTTCAATAGCTTGAACTCATCATCATCTCCCTTAAATCCAGCGAATCTGATTTCCTCAAGGAAAGAGAAACAACTAGGCATTTCTCGTAGCAGTTCAATCCAGTCGAAATCATATTTTACACCATTTTTATCGCATGAAGGATCCTAGAAAAAAGAGAAAAGAGAAGTTCATAAGTTGCAAATCAAAGAAACACGTCTTCTTCATGTGTTGTGTCCTGCATTTATTGAAAATTTCCACGTGTCACGTCTAGTGTCCATATCCGTGCTTAGACACAGCCTAAAAAAAAAAAAATACAAATTTGAATATTTTACATGTAAACTCACCTTCAACAATGTCAGAGTTTTTAGTTTGGGAACACAATCAAGCAAGTCTGGTAGCCTTCTCCAGCTATAATTATTGTGAACAGCCAGTTCCAAATTAGTCAAATTTGGGTATAGCGGCAACTTGTAATCGTCGGCAAATTCCAAAACCTTTATAAAGGATGAAATAATATGGCAAAGCACAATGATATTACAAAGCAAATAGAACAAAATTATATCCATGGTACTTGTAATGTGTCTTGTGTCAATTGGTCCCGGTAATTTTAATTATAGCAATTTTGTCTTTTAATTTTTCAAGTTGTGTATTGGTTTAGTGCAATTGATAACAATCGTTAACAAATTGAATAGAAATCAAAGGCAAAATGATTCATTCAAAAGGGAATGAATTGTTTCGAATTGGATGTCAACCCGTCAATCAATTTGAGGAGAGTGAATGGACTATTTTGCCGTTGATTTCAGTCCAATTTATATAGAGCCGTTGCCTATTGGACTAAATTAACACAATGTGAAAATTTTAAGAGAAAATTGAAAAGATTAGAATTGTAAGGACCAAATTGGTACGAGGCAAACTACAAGGACTACAAGGAAAATTTATCCAGTCAAATATTAGTATATGTTACAAGAAATTATAGGGTCAAATTTCAAAATGACCTCATTAAGAAAAGACAGAGCAAACATACCCCCATAGTTGCTGCAGCTAGTGATAGAAACTTGACACTAGTGATTCCTTCCAGAAGCATGAATAGTTTATTAGCATGTTCCTTTGTTCCGAGCAGTTCTATACAGCAGCTGTATTTAAAAAGATTTAATTCTGTTGTGTACAAAACAACAACCAGAATATAAAGAAATAAAGAAAAAGAGAGAATATGTTTGATTACAAAAAAAAAATAGACCGAACTTAGGAAAAAATTCTGGTTTTATCCAGAATTTTATAACCATTCCAACACCGAGCAGTTCTATACAGCAGTATCCAACATTTATATATGCTCTAACTAACGAGGATAGGTTGTTCAGCGAGTAGCAAGGCAAGTAATCATCACGAACAGTCAGGTGTTCAAGAACTGGTGCATTGACAACAATCTTGTTCTTTGAAAGCTTCATTCCCCTATCAAAGTGTTCACATTCCAGAAACGTAATCAAATGGAACTTTAATTTCTTTAGAGCGGGCGAAGAGACATCAAAAATCATTTCCGACTCATCCACTACATTTGCTCTTAAGTGCAAATCCTCAAGCATCGGGCAGCTAGTGAAGAGCTTCTGTGTTATGTCATTTTCCGGATAATGAAGTGAAACATGGAGGATCTTGAGGTTCGGCAAGTAAACCGAGGTAGGAAAATTGAATTTCAGTTCATTTATTAGCTTCAAGACCACCAGTGTCTTGCAACAAAAGAGCTTTTGAGGCAAAATAAGATCCTGCCTTGTGTACATTTCGATATCAACCTCTTCAACACCACGCGCAGTAAGAACACTTATCCATGTATGTACACGGGATACATCAATTCCCCCACCATCTTTCAGATGGAATCTTTTAATACACGGCGATCTGTGAAAGAAAAATACCTTGGTGACAAAATTCATGAAACTTTTATCATAATCAGGAGTCTGCATCGGAGCATCAAGCATCAATCCATCAAAGTCAAGATTTGGGACAAATGCCCACAGGTCCTTCCATCTTTTGGATAGGACGGTGGTTCTGAATGCAAATTTGGTTGGAATGAAAGAAAGAATGTAAATGAGAAGCGAGTCTGGCAGGCTGCTGATTCTATCTTCTCCATGTCCAATATTCACCTCCTTCAAAGGTTGCAGATGCTTCGACACTGAAGTCATGATTTCTGTGGTGCTCTTCCTAAACAAAATAGATAAAATTAGACTGTTGTGATTGGGCAAACAGACCATATCAGAGTAAGGTTACAATAATTTTCTAGGGAACTGTTAGTAAAAAGAATTGGAAGGGTTTTACCTCTGAGAGAAAGAGAGAGAGGTTGGAGATGATCAAAGATGTCAATCCAAGCTCCAAGAAGACAAAGCTGCCAAGTAGAAGATCAGTTAGCCATCAGAACAATTGTTCATGAATCATAACATTATGATATGATTTATGAACCAGTAGTCTATTGCAACATCACAAAAAAGACCTTAACATTCCATAATATGTTTCACTTTTCTTGATAATAAAAATAATATGTTTCAGTTGCCTTGACATACCTATATTTGCTCAATAAGACAAACTGCTACAAGCTGTCTTGCTCAAAAAAGAATTGAAGTACTTACTATGATTTAAACCTTTTCTCCATTAGCTGTAACTAACAAGCTTATGCACTCACTCAAGCATAGCCATGTGTTTATTAGAAAAATTGAACCAAACATCAAAAAGACTCAGTGTAGTCATGTATATTAGATATATAATGGTTAATCAGGTAAAAGTATTTTAACCATTTAACTTACATCACAAACAAGGTTCACATTGGTTCGTACAAAGCAACTTGTTCTGAAGGCCATAAAGGTTCATTTTACAACAAAGCTAGTAAACTTTGAAGCTAGCAATGGAAAACACAATAAGAAAATATCACCGATCATTTGCAACAAAGAGTGCAAGGTTCGATCTTGAACTTACCACGATTCCTTAAAACAACTGCCAAATCCACACTAACTAAGCCACAGCAATCTGATTAGGCAGCATGTCCGAAAACAGAAAAATTTCCCTTACAAAAACAATGGACATTAATAGCAAATGGCCATGTTGCCTAGTGGCATCACCCTAACACTTCCATAGGGGGGAGGTTGCAGGTTCAGCCCCGTAGGGGGCAAGGGCACTTGGGTGGGGTATTTGGGAGATTTTGCTCATCAATAAAACAAAAACAAAGTGATTATAATAATCTCAGCAAGTTGAAATTTAAAGGGATATCCAACCCTGTGTCACCAACAGTCACCAAAGGAGGGGAGGGATCAAGCACAAGAAGAAAGAATGCAATTTTTACAATCTCCCACCACAATTAACGTGGATCATTTCCCATTCCATATTAAAACTTGATACTTAGTGTTGGCCATCTTGCTGCTAATTTTCAAGTTAGAAGTCACATCAATCCTATGTTTGGATTGATACAATACGATAGATAATTATATAAGCATTTAAAACCTAGAAGTTTCACAGACAATCAGGTTCAACACACAGAAAATAGAACCCCAACTATTCAACAGGTTAAAAAAACTCATACCCAATCACGGTTTTAAAAAACGATATTGGCTAAGTAGCACGGACACGGACACGGGACACGATACGGACACGACACGGACACGTGGACACGTAATTTTTCAAAAAATGGGGGACACGACACGTTGGGGACATGTTTAATATATATAATTTTATTTATATATTATATGTAAAATTAAAAAATATATACTATTTGTATTTATTTTTATTTATTTATTTTATTTATTATATGCAAAATTAAAAAATATATACTAATTTTATTTATTATATGTAAAATTAAAAAATAAATATATTATTTGTATTTATTTATATTATTTAAGACCAAAAGAAAGGTTAGGGGTTATATTATTTATTTATTTATATTATTTATTATTAGTATATAATTTATTATTAGTATATAAATATATATATATATATATATATATGTATATATATTGTTAGTATATAACGTATATAGCTATCGATGGTTTAGCGAGAGAGAGAGAGAGCAGAGAGGGTCAAACGATGCGCAGAGAGGGAGACGAGGTCGATGGTCGATCGATGGTCAAACGAGGGTCAAACGAGGGTCAAACGAGGGCGATCGATGGTCGATCGAGGCGCAGAGAGGGAGACGAGGAAGACGAACAGGTTAGGTTTCTTCTCTCTGTCCTCAATCTATCTCTCTTTTCCCTCGACCTATCTCCCTCTCTCTCTCTTCCCTCGATCTGTCTCTGTCTCTGGCTCTCTCTCTTTCTCTTCTCCAACAGTTCTAGGGCTTCTTCGATCCACCCACCTGCGTGTCTGAAACGTGTCCTCGCGTGTCCAACGTCGTGTCTGACTCTGAAAAATTCTGAAAAAAGGGGGACACGCAGGGGAGAGTGTCGGACACGTGTCAACAGCGTGTCGTACGCGTGTCTGTGTCCGACACTAATACGCAAGCCTCAGGGACGTGTCCGTGCTTCATAGGATATCGGGATATGTATCGGTATCAGTGATATGCTCATACATCGATTGACATCAGACAATATCAGATAGTATCAGCCATTATATCAGTGGATAACGGTATCAGAAGACTAAAATTCCAATTCGTAACAGTTGATATTTAAAAGCTAGTACCCAACAAAATTTGTACAATGTTCTGTACAGAGAAGAAAAAAAATAAATCCATCAAAACATCAAAAAGTAGTTGAAAAATCTCAAACCCAATTCAAAAATTGTGTATCCGTCTTTACCTAATTTTCAGCTTGAAAATCCAACAAATTGGCTGCTCAAAGCCACAATAATCTGAAAAATCAACTCAGATGATAAAATGATGAAGGATCTTAGTTCATACGTTTTACCTAACACAAAAATTAAATGGCCAAGTGCGGAATACTTACAGCTTCCAAATCTGAGGCAGAAAGTTAGAGGGATCTAAACCAACACAAATTTCAGAGGCAAAAATGAGATTAGGCTTCGATCTGAATGCAATCCATCAAAAAATCCATAAAAAAAATAACGAAGGACTTAGATCTAGACTAAGAGACAGTACCCGAGCCTGATCCAAAAATCACTAGCTTGAACTCACCGAAATAAAACAAGATCCAAAGAAAATATTCACAAAAACCACCAATAGCCGATTGAAGACAAAGAAAATTGAAACAACTTGATTAATTCGAAGCTTAGCACCATGAAATTGAATGAAAAATGAAGCTAAAACAGGAAGGCATCGGTCTAGAAGGTGAAGAAAACCACGGCCATCAAATAATGGTTGGCGGCACTGGTGGTATCAGAGCTGGTGTCAGACTGCTCACAGCAAACCCTATTTCTCTCTCTGGGCCAAGTTAATATTTAGGGCATCGCACGACTTAAATAAACATTACCACCAAAATTGGATTGTTTAGTAATTTTTCGACATGATGGTGTAAAAGTTTTTCCTTAGAAAGTTTTTTCCAACTTTAAGTGCAACCAAGCAATAAAAATGAAAAAAAAAAGAAAAGAAAAAGAAATTTGCAAGAAATTTTGTTTTACATCAAAATAAATGGAACTTAAGTAACCAATTGACAATAACTATATGGAATACATAGTAGTAAACATTCATAAAGGAAAATCATATGTGATTGGGTCCACTTTCTTACAACTTCAGCTTTAAGAATAAATGGTTATCTAGCATGGTATCAAAGTTTTGGTTTTGGTAGGTCTTGGGTTTAAGTTTATTCTTATGTATTTGCTACCAATCCAACACGTGCTTTTCTTGTGCACCTTATGTTATTTGTGTACACATTCATTTTCTGATCTCTATTTCATAACAATTTGAGCTTTTGAGGCAAATATTTGTCTAACAAAATGATTAATAAGCAATGGTATTTGGTGCTACACATTACTGTCACATTGTGAATCGTTTTTGCTAAAATAGTGAATTGTGAAATTCATTTTAATTAATATAATACATAATTTTAAAGATGTATTTTGACATATAAAAATACACACGTGGTGTGTAAAATTAAATGTTATCCATATAATTAAATTATATATATACACATATAAAACCATATATATTGATATGACTAGTTGATGTCTTTTTTATTTTTTGATAGAGACGAAAACGACTTTGTTTCATGCATTATGCAGAAGAAAAAAAAATTACTTGCACTATCATTCAATTTCCGATTCAACAACACAATTCGAATCCTTTTGGTTGAGACTCATGTCGAATTGTGAATCATACGATTCTAACAACACTGGTGCTACCAACCATAAAACAAGCACTACCTTCATCATTAATCACCGAAGTGTTAGTGAACATTTGCAGCACCACTTCTGCCTTAGTTGCTCCTAATATTGCTAATCCAACATTAGGCCAACCATCACTGCCACAAATATGCATATGCAACTACAATATACAAATTGCTTGTTTTTTAATTGAATAAAAGCTGCAGATAGCTAGGAAATGTTATAATTATTCATGCTAATTGAAGGCAATTGCTTAAGTTACATAGCTTTCACCAAAATTCAAACTCAGATTGGAAGCTTACACTTCAGGGCATTACTTGGTTCAAAGATTTGGTATTGAATAAGGGATTAGACCCTTTAAAGCCAAATCTTGCATTTCGATCAATCCTTACATTGGATTACTCTAATTCCAAAATTTCAAGTTGTTACCAAAAAGCAAAGAGTTCCAAATTATAAAAATAAAATAATAATAATAAAAAAAGAACTGTTATTTGCAAATCTCATGCACTCGATTCAAAGAAAAAAAAGAACAAAATGAGAAAACTAAGAGCATTAGTATTAAAAATGGTGCCACTCTAATAGTTGAAAGCTTGCCAATATTGCTTCCATCCTCAACACGCATTTAGAAAAGCCCATTTCAAGCACAGTTTCTATGCACTTTTTAGTAAGCTTAAACTATTTTTTTTTTAAATAAAATATATTTCATTAATTTTAACTTTTAGATCATAGTAGTATTGAATGGGCCCTTGATGATTATACACTTCAAGATTGCATTCCATTGCTTACTTCACGCGTAGAAGCTACAACTTGCCATTCTAGTGTAATTCATTGTAAACCATGGCTAAGAAATATCATGGTTGTGAATATTTTGTAAAGTACAAGAGATATTATGTAAAAGTTATGATTAAATTCCATATGATTTATTGGCCTCTTGATTATCATATTATCCATTAATAGTTGTTTTCTAAAAATGTGAACAAACCTATGTAAAATTTACACCTACAACATTTGTACAAGTGCACAAGGCTCCAATCTTTTTAGTTTAAAAGGGTAAGTATAAAAATTTTTAATTATTATTTTTTTACTGTCTACTATGAATCCTTTGTTATTAGACATTAACTTCTAAAAATATTTGTTTTACTTCAATCAAACGCAAGCTTGCACTTTGTTCCTACGCTCTAGGAGTCATTTGCACACAATTGTCCCCCACGCTTTCACCAAGATTCCAGCATCTCCAACACCACAACTATCATCATTATATATTCATTATCAATAATGAACATTTACTCACAACACCATCATCAAATCATAAACAAGAATCCTACTATATCACTACCACTGAACCCTCAACTTGCCAATTTTTAACTGTAAATCATTGATCTCAATAGATAGATTGATAGTTGCACTTTCCTGTTGTAGAAAACTACTCCTTTGAGATTTTATTGTTTACATTAGATGGTTAGCTTATGTTTTCTTGTAGCTCTACATTCAAAAATCAATTCTCTTGCATTCTTGAACTTGTTTTTTGTCTTGTGGCTACTACCAATATGATATGCAAGCCATAGAAGTGATGCTATTAATTAAGAGCAACTAGAAATCCATGGAAAGAAAACAAAAAACAAAACCAACTAGTACCAACCTAATAAATTTGTCAACCTATAAAAACAAACACCCAAAACCAACTTATAGAATATGGCAAGAACGATATTAGGAAAGCTAACATGCACCGACATGACAACTTATTGAAGTTCAATACAAAAAAGCAATCAATCATGTGAAGATAGCTAATTAGCATTCTCCTAATACGAAGCAATAAAACATTCAATGGAAAAATAAATTCATTTAGAAAGAATTAATTCTTACCTTATTCAGTACTTCAGCATTTTTCAGAAAATACTTCCAACTAATCATCGTCCCCTTTAAATCCATAAACTTTAATTTCTTCAAGGGAAGGCAAATAACTAGATTTTTTGGCATTTCAATCTAGTTGAAATCATGATTTGCATCATCTTCATCATATGGAGGATCTTAGAAAAAAGAGAAAAGAGAAATTCAAAATCTATTAATCAAAGAAACATAGACACTTCTAATCTAGGTCTTCCCTATGTGGTGTATACTACATATTTTGAAAATTTTCACGTGCCCGTGTTATGTCAAGTGTCCGTATCTGTGCTTTTTAGATACAAAAAACATGCTACAAATTTTAAAAAATTTACATGTGAAGTTAACTTTGTCAATGCTAAGAGTTTGCAGTTTACAAACACTATAAAGCAAGTTTGGTAGCCGTCTCTAGGTATAACAATTGTAAACAACCAGCTCCAAACAAATCAAATTTGGGTATATGGGCAACTTATGATCATCAGCAAATTCAAGAACCTTTATAAAAGATGAAATATCAAGCCAAAACAAAATTATATTACAAATCAAATAAGGTAAAATTATACCTACTGACCTTCTAATGTGTCTCATGTCAATTTAGTCACTGAAATTTAAATTATATCAATTTTGTCTTTTAAATTTTTACGTTGTGTATTAGTTTAGTCCAATTGATAATATTCGTTAACAAATTGAGTAAAAATTAACGGCAAAATGATCCATTTAAAAGGTAATTAATCATTTAAAATTGGATGTCAACCCCTCATTCCAATCCATTCCCTTGAAACTAAGAAGCTCATCATTGTAATTCAAAATATCACAAGCAAATCATTTTGTATGATAATTTTGTAAAAAGAAATTGTTTGCTTAGCTTTTTCCATGTTAAATATATTTGGTGTAAGTTGAATAAAATAAGTGAATGCAAGTACGCTTTCATGGTTGATATTTAATTTGTGTCAGATGTAAAGATCTTAGTAATTATGAGCGATGATATCATGATTCAAAATAAGATGAAATTTAATAATAATATAAAGATCTACTTATAGAAATTTTTATGTTCACTTTTTCTTTTTCTTTTTACCTGTAAACTGTAAAGCTACGGAGCACTGACACTTCAAAACAAGTGCCATAGGGGTGTCAGACCCGGACGGGGGCATGTATGCGACACGCCATATGGGATGTCCTGTTATTTAAATTCTTTTTTTCAAGGGAGATAACAAGGACATGACATGGACACACTGGGGATACTTCAAGGGCACACCAACTAGATTTGTTTCCTCTTTTCTTTAGTGTTTTTGATGAATGCTGGATAATTATTACTTTTGCTTAGACTTAAATACTTAATAAATCATCCATAATAGAGATATAAACCGCAAGTGTTAATTTGAAAGTGTTTTTTTTATTTTTTTATTTCAAATATCAAATTAGTATTAGTTTTTGTTAATTTTGATTGTTTGTGGATATAATATTAAACTACATAACAAATAAAATATCTGAAAACTATATTTCATTGTCATGTCCCACCAAACATGTCCCCATTCTTTTGACATCATCGTGTCAAGTGTTCCAGTTCGTGCTTTATTTTCTTGCTCATCCAAACTGAACACTGAGAATCATTTCCTTCTTTTTTTTTTTCTCACCCCGCGATCCCAACAGAGCCTTCTTCTTAGGATCTACTTATTTAGATGTTAAATAAGCTAGATAGCAATGACATATAAACACACTAAAAAGAGTCATTGAGAGATGGAGCAACAAAGAAAAGGAGGATGGATTCCGGTAGTAAATCAGTGGAAAGGTGGAAGAAGGAAAGGCATAGAAGCATCGCATGGTCTCTTCTCTGTTTTTGTGGATCATATACCATCAAAAATGGATGCTAAATCATTGTTCAAGTTCTTCACAAAATTTGGCATAGTCAAGGATGTTTTCATCCCTTCCAAAAGACGAGTAGTGTCACATTCTAGGTTCGGATTTGTGAGGTTCGATTGCAATGTAGCAGCCGATATAGCCATTCAAAAAGCCAACGGTCTTCTGGTGGATGACAAAGTTCTAGAAGTCAAAGCTGCAACTCTTGATAGAAGAAACAGGGAGGAGTATAACAGGCGAAATCCAGAACTTATGAAACCACAGGTCATCCGGAGATCTTTTGAAGCAAACAGATTCAGAGGATATGCTCCATTTGCTGGTCAAAGATCCTTTGCTAATGTTGTGCAAGGGGTCAATTCGAACACCTCCATCAAAGTCACTGAAGAGGGTAACGGTTGGCTCTATGAAAGTGCCATTATCCGCCTGAATGCAGAACACTCCATACACAGTGTTCGTGAAGCATTGAAGGAGAAAGGTCTGGAGCATATTTTGGTTAGGCATGTGGGTGGAAGGGATGCAATATTAACTTTTAACACTCAGGAGGAGTTGGCATCAAACATAGATAATCTCAAGGCTTGGTTTAAGGATCTGAGTCAGTTTGTGGCAGCGCTTAAACCTGGAAATCATTTTGTCCAAGAGCGATGTGTATGGCTCAAATGCTGTGGGATACCCTTACATGTTTGGAATAAAAGTACTCTCACCAAGATTGGACGTATATGGGGTTCGGTACTCAGCATTGAGGGAGATTTGTGTGAACCAAAATCATTCTCCCATGCCAGGATTAGGATAGCCACTACAACTATGGAATTTATTGCTAAATCTTTAACTTTGGACTGCAATGGTGAAGATCATAAGATTTTTGTGTGTGAAGACCTCCAACCAGATCTCAGTAGCCTGAACCATAATGGCATGTACGAGGCCAACTCTCTTGCAACCTGTTGCAGTGTTGAGGAAGAGAATATTCCAGTGATAGATGGTAAGGAGAGGGAAGAAGATGATGAGGTGGCAACGGGTAAGGCCATGTTTGGTGCTGAGCTTGCGTGTCCGATGGACACAATGGTTGAGGAGACACCCTGTGAAGGAGGCGTAAACAGAGGAGGAGCGTGTGCTGAGAGGCCTCTGATAGATTTGATGGAAAAGGCTGACCACTTTTCAAATATTAATGATGAGAGACAAAAGTGTATTGAACAAGTCTATACACCTGGGTTTATACGTTGTATGAATGAGGTAAATGCTGGTGGTGGACCTGGCATTAATTTAGAAGTGGACTTGGCCCACTTTGAAAAGCAACCCGTAAACTGCAGGCCCGTTCATTCCAATGGCCCTTCCAGTAGGCCCAATGTACCTGCATCAGTCAATGGATCAATTTCTGGCCCTCTGTCCAACTTAAACCCGTGTATAAGGAATAAATTTGCTCATACCCAGTCAGTTCAAGACTCAATCTCAGCCTCCAACAAAGATCACCATCGAAACCTGAGAAATAAAGGGAAGATGAAGTCACAAATGGAGGGGTTCACTAGTTTTGCTAGGATTCATGCGTACACAAACAGCGCAGCCAAGAAGCAATATTCTAAATCTGTTATTTACAGGCCTGCTGCTAAAGCTCTAGCCCAGTCTAATTCATTTGCAGGTGATTCTTCTCTGAGAAACCAGATTCTTTCTGAAGCTGCAGCTACAATACAATTAGGGAAGTCTCTTGGAATAGACTACCATGGGAAGGAAGGCATTGTGCTCCACAAAATTGCTGAACTAGAACTTAAAGACAAGGAGAAAATTGCCAAGGAGGGGAATGATCAGCAGTAAAGGAAAAGAGTAGGGCCTTATGAGAGAATCAATGGGTTTATCATGAAGTTAATATCCTGGAATATCAGGGGTATGGGGAAGGTGGAGAAACAGGGTAGAATCAAGAGGCTCCTAAAGGACAGAAATGTTGATATTGTTTTTTTTCAAGAAACCAAAAGGGCAATTATATCAGAGGGTGAAGCTATAAGGCTATGGGGAAGTAAAAATATGGAGTTTATGTCTGTTGATCCTGAAGGAACAGCCGGAGGCCTGCTATGTATATGGGATCCTGCAGTTTTCACACTCTCTGGCTGCTGCTGCAATAGGAGGTACATCCTACTCTCAGGTTCCTTATATAACACTTTTGACTGTGTTCTGCTTAATATACATGCCCCCAATGATGTTGGTGCCAGATCTTCTTTTTGGGCTAGTATCTTAAAGCTTAAAACCCTTTTCCCTCTTCCTTGGTGCATGGGTGGTGACTTTAATGAAATTAGCCATATTAGTGAAAGAGTAGGTTGTTCTAGGAGAGACAGGGGCATGAAGCATCTTAATGAATTCATTGGGAATATTGAGCTTCATGATCTACCACTCCATTGGAGGAGATACACATGGTGCAATGCCCAGGAATCAGAGAAATGGAGCAGAATTGATAGGATTTTACTAAGTCCTGAATGGATGATTAATTTCTCAATGAAATTGTGGGGTTTACCCAGGCTAATCTCAGACCATTGCCCGCTATTAATGATGGAGGATTCCAGAGATTGGGGCCCAAAACCCTTCAGGTTCCTAAATGCGTGGACTCTTCACCCAAGCTTTGCTCAATTTTTTGTCTCATCATGGTCAGATACCTCTTTTGTTGGCTGGTCTGGGTATATACTCTCACAAAAGCTAAAGCATCTGAAGCAAGTCTTAAAATCTTGGAACATTCAGGTGTTTGGAAATATGGCTTCTAAAATAAAATCTTCAGAAGATGAACTACATGCTCTGGATATAACTGCAGAGGAAAGAGCACTGAGTGCTTCAGAAAAGGCAAGAAGAAGGGAGGTTAAAGGTGAGTTGTGGAAGCTATATCGAATGGTAGAATGGATGTGGCATCAAAAATCCAGATTGAATTGGGCTCTCAATGGGGATAAAAACAGTAGGTTTTTTCATGTAGTTGCTAGTTCTCGGCAGAATCGAAATCTCATCAACTCTATTTCAGTAAATGGAGTGTCCATTGAGGATCCTACTGGAGTTAGGCAACAAGTTCTCATTCACTTCAAGGCCCAATTTTCTGAATCATGGGTTAACAGGCCTTCTCTGTCAGGGGCATTCAACACCATTGACCCGGAATATGCCTCCCAACATTTGGTAGCCGAGTTCAGTGCAACTGAGGTACTTGCAGCAATCAAAGACTGTAACAATAACAAAGCTCCAGGCCCTGATGGGTTCAACCTACTGTGCTATCAGAAATTTTAGAAGGTTATGAAGACGGACATAATGCAATTTTTCAAAGAGTTTCACTCTAACAGCAGGCTTGCATATGGCATTAATAGCTCATTTATCACCCTTGTTCCCAAGGTAGACAACCCTATTGGTCTATCTGACTACAGACCTATTAGTCTTGTGGGATCTATATACAAAATCTTGGCTAAAGTCTTAGCATCCAGATTAAAGTCAGTGCTCCCCTCAATAATTGGTGAAACACAGACAGCATTCTTGGGAGGAAGAAATATTCTGGATGGGGTATTTATTGCTAATGAGGTAGTGGATGGTTGGAAGAAGGCCAAAAAACAAGGGTTGATTCTCAAATTGGACTTCGAGAAAGCTTTTGACTCGGTCAACTGGGAATTCTTGTTCTCTTTGATGGGCAGTTTTGGTTTAGGTGACAAATGGATCGCTTGGATGAAGATTTGTGTCTCCACAGCTAGAATCTCCATTTTAGTGAATGGCTCACCAACTGAGGAATTTTCACCTCATAGGGGCCTTAGACAGGGGGACCCGCTCTCACCTTTTCTATTCAACATTGTGGCGGAAGGTCTTAACATTCTTCTAGTCAGAGCTCTCAACCTTGGTATTCTCAAAGGGGTAGTTGTTGGATCTAACAATGTACTTATCTCACATTTGCAATTTGCCGATGATTCAATCCTTTTTTGTGAAACTGATTGTGCTCAATTGGTATCCATTAAAAGGCTTCTCAGATGTTTTGAAGTATTATCTGGCCTCAAAATTAATTACCATAAGAGTGTCGTCTGTGGTGTTAGTGTAGATGAATGCTGGTTAAACATCTATGCTTCTCTTCTCAATTGCAAAGTGCAGAGTCTTCCACTAAAATTTCTGGGGCTGCCTTTAGGAGCAAATCCTGGAAGGAAATCTACTTGGAAGCCTGTAATTGAAAAAATCAAGGCTAGACTGTCATGTTGGAAGAGAAAACTGTTGTCCTTTGCTGGTAGACTAACTTTAATCAAGTCCACTCTATCTAGCTTACCTATATACTTTCTTTCCATGTTTAAAATGCCTGAAGGAGTGGCTAAGGAAATAGAAAGGTTAGAAGCTGCCTTCTTATGGGGTAGCAGTGATCTTAAAAAGAAAGTGCATTTACTGAAATGGGAGGAAGTTACAAAGAGCATTGATCAATGGGGACTTGGCATTAGAAGGGTCAGGGATGTTAATGTTTGTTTCCTCCTCAAATGGTGGTGGAAGTTTGGAACCCAAACCAATGCTCTATGGAGGTCAATTGTATGCAGCAAATATAAAATTAACAACTCCTGTTGGCTCCCTCCTTTGAATCTCTCATACAAGCACTCTAGAGTCTGGAGGGACATCCTCACAATAGGGGCCCTCAATAGGCCTATCTTTAATTTCTTTGTGGGCCATTGTGGTGTAAAGGTTGGGAATGGATTCAGAATCAGATTTTGGTTTGACAGTTGGTGTGGTGGCCTTTGTTTGAAATCTTCTTTTCCCCTCCTCTTCAATTTGTCAAATGATAAGGAAGGTTCCCTCAATCATTATTACGCAAGGAGGTCAAGCCCATTTGATTGGAATCTCCCCCATAGAAGAGAGTTATATTCATGGGAATTGGCTGAAGATGTGAGAATGAATGCTTTCTTATCCTCTGCTCCATCTCTGTGTTTGGATTGTGAAGACTGCTTCGTATGGTGCACGGATTCTGGTCAAAGCTTCTCTGCTTCTGCCCTCTACTCTTACCACTCATCTCTCTCTGGCCCTCATCTCAAGGTTAGCAAATTTGTTTCGAATTCCCTTTTGCCCCCCAAAGTATCTTTTTTCACCTGGCTAGCCTGGAAATCTAGAATCAAATGTTCTGATTTTCTACTCAAGATTGGGTCTCTTGACAGCAATGCTTCACCCCTCTGCCACTTCTGCAACTCTGAAGTAGAAACTGCCCCCCATGTACTGCTTCATTGTTTTTTCTCTTGGTCAATATGGTCAGTGGTTATTGAGGATTGGGGCCTACATTGGTGCATTCCTAAATCTGTAGATGGCCTGCTTCATTGGTGGATGAGCTGGAAATTCTGTAATTTTGACAGACTATTATGGAGAGTAATCCCCTTAATTGTACTTTGGTCCATATGGAAACTCAGAAATGATTGTGTATTTTCCAATACACAACCCTCTTCTTCAGGACTGTTAGATCTTATAAAATACAGATCTGCCATTTGGCTCAAAGCTTCCACTAAAGAGTTCCCATACTCAGTTGATGATCTCGTCTACAATTGGAGACAGATTAGGGGCGGAATTTAGCGCTCTGGCTTCAGTCTAGTGCTATCTGGGTTGATGTTTTGTTCCAGTGTGCTATCTGGGTTGATGCTCTGTCAGTTGATGTTCTGCTATTTTGTTCTGCATGCCTGCCTTTTTGTTCATCAGTGCTCTATATGTGCTCTGGCAGTCCAATTCTGGTCTAACCACATGCACTGCCTGCTGCTCCATTTTGGTCTGTGGGTGCCACTGAACAGATTCACTTCGTGTTGCTAGGGAATGGTTCTAATGACAGTTCTGTTTTGGTAAAATAATTTCGGTCTGTGAACGGATATGCAGCGATACTGATAGTGTTCTTGCTGATGCTGCTGCTGCAGGTTTGATCTGTTGTGCAACTTGATCTGCAGTCTGATTCTCTGTTCTCTTTTCTGCAATCTTGTGGTTTGCTTGGCAGTGCTGTCCAGATTCTTACGGTAAGTTGCTTGGCAGTGTGGTCTGCTCCTTACGGTTAGTTGCTGTCCAGATTTTTAAGTTGAGCGGATTGGTAGCAGCAGCGGCTTTGTTCCTTAAGTTTGGGTGAAGTTCATAGTGATGTTGTAGTCTGTAGTGCTACCCTGCTATGTAGCTTGGGTGAAGTTTGTTAGTCTGTTATCCTTCTCTTGTTTCTGTTTTGTTTTGTTGTTGGTTTCTCACCAACTGGCGCTTGGAGCTCCTGTTAGCTCCAAGCTCCTCTTTATTGATGTCCTGTATCTTTTTCGCATACATTCATCAATAAAGATTTTCTTTTGCCGATCAAAAAAAAAAATATAAACACACTAACTTGTAGTGGCTAGCTATCAATCTCATACACAATCATAAAATCCATTTCAAAAGTGAACATTTTTAGGAATCAATGTATAAAAAAAATTGTATAGGAAACAAATCCATGATAGAATTGTCAGGAAAACAGAATTTATCATACCTCTGATTCATCATCTTCATCAAATTCTTGTATCAGAGCCTTGCATTGATCGAAGCTTCTCCGTCGCCCCCGATGCGAAAACCTCGCCGGAATCAAGAAGTCACCGACGAAGTAGCTTCGCCAGCGGTACATCTGACTTTGGGCTGGTTTGGCAAGTTTCAAAAAAGTCAAAAAGTCAAAAAGTCACTATCCTATTTAACTCACATCATTTTATTTAAGTCACATCACCTCTCTAACACATCACTTCAAACCCAACCCAAATTCAACCCATATTTCATAAAAAGTCAAAAAGTGCACTTATTTAGATCATCTCAAACAACTCCTTCGTCTCACCATTGATCGCAGAGGAGAAGGGTAACTAGTATAGAAGCCTTATTTACAACCTCCCGACCCGACCCGTTAATGGTTTGACCCATTTCGTACCATCTTAAAATTTGATTTAAAAAAAAATGTGAACTTTTTTTTTTATTTTTTTTTATTATTATTATTTTTAATCCATTCATCAAGGGAAAAATTGTGAGTTACTGGCAAGACTCCCCCCCCCAAAAAAAACAAAACAAAACAAAATTATAGAAAAGTTTATAATTTTAATTATTAAAATTGATAAGTTTTCACACTGATTTGAATTTTATTTTAAAAGTACACATTGCAGTGTTATTTTCCCTTCATCAAATCAAGGGTGAATTATTTTTTTCACTCAATTGAGAATTTATCAAATTTTTGATGAAAAATAAAAATTTAAAAAGATGAGCTTTGGATATTTTTTAGTTTATTATTTTTATTTTATATATTAAATTTGATTAAAAGTAAAATTTGAAACTTATAATATTTTATGTTAATAATTATATAATGGTGTTAACTTAATTATGTAAGTAGGGGTTCAATTTGGACAAATTCAACTTGAGCAACTTGTATCCGGTCTGAGTTTTTTAAGGACTTGGGCAATAATATTTTGTAATCTAGACGGGCCTGAGCAGATTTTTTATGCCCGAATTACAATTTGAGTTAGGTCTAGATAGAGGCTGTGTGTAATCCAAGCGACCCGAACTCGAGTTGCATTTTATATATTATAAAAATTATATAATATATGTATAAATGTGGGCATCTCTCCTTCATTTTGGCTTTCAATCTCATTTACTTCAGAGGTTATAAATGGAATTTGGCTTTGTGGAGTAGGCAACCATGTGGGCTGTCTCCCTTTGTCTTCACTGTATCTTCTCTTGGGAAAGAGACCACCATTTCTTCCTCATTCCTGTCATTTCTCTTTCTTTCTCTTTTTGACCACCATTGAAATTCAAGCTTTGAGCTTCACCCACATGATCCCTCATTCCTCTTGAGATTCACGAACAAGATCTTGAGGCGATATATCCTTTTATAGATTTAATTTGTATTTTTTTCCTTTTTTATTTTATTTTATCTTTCCAAAAGAAAGTGTTGAGTTGGGTTCCATACTATATGCCTCAGCTTGTCTCTCTAAAACTCTTGATAAAGTTATCTTCTATGCTTGTTGTGTTGGATTTGCAGGTAGAAACTATAAAAAGTATCATTTTGATAGAAGTAATGGTTTACTTGCAAATAGTTTGGGCAAATTTTAATGTAGGTATGATTTAGTTTTTTAATGGATTGTTTAGAAATTTCCGTCATTTATGATTTAATTCTATTTGTGTGTGAAGATGAATTATTTTTCTTTTTTTATTTAGCGTATGATTGTTATTGAATCACTTCCAATTTGATTTTTATTTTTTATTTTTTTGTTATTTGTCTATTCAATTTGGGCAATTCGGCTAACTTGAGCTCAGATTATGTAGCTCAGTTCGGGCTTGGGCAGCTAAGCTCAGGTTGATGGTCGGGCTTGGGCACTTCCAAACACAATTCGGGCTGAGCCTGGGCAACCCTCCAACCCGAGCCAACCTACCCGAGTTGCATCCTTATACTCAAGTACTTTTTAGAAAGGGAAAGGCTAAAGCATATTGTTGGGTCTGTGAGGCCCACCACAGGTCCCGTTTCGATGATCCGAACAATTCAATGTGTAGAGCCCATCGAGTACTTCATGCCTGCAAAAAATCACATAGATCGGATATCGGTAGCCCTTTGATCGGAACACATTTTTGTCAATAGTAAATATAATTTTAAAAATAAATTGTTAATAAAAATATATTCCGATCAAGGGGCTACCGATATCCGATCAATGTAATTTTTTGTAGGCATGAAGTACTCGACAAGCTCATTAAATAGTTCTGATTATCGAAACGGAACCCGTGGTGAGCCCCACAGGCTCAACCGTATGCTCCAATCCACATAATGAACTAGAGAGAAGCCTCTCCTTTTTAGAAATATCATAATTTTGTCAAAAATTCTATTTCTAGTACTTAGCTACCAATTAGTCAAAATTCATTTCTTATAACTCATTTAGTTCTGCTGCCATTCAAAAGACCAAAAACCCTAATTATAGATTTACCACAAAAAATATAAACTAATTTTACATTTTAAGAGAAAATCACTATAGTTTAAGTACTTACCCTATTTGGATTAGAATCTATACATTAGGAGAAAAATATGGAAGCTAATAAATATTCTATTTGAAATCTTGCTCTTTATATATGTATATATATATATATACTAGTGAATAACACGAGAGTTGCGCGTGTAATTCAAATAAATAAGAGTAAAAATAAACAATAAATAAATAAATTAATGTTATTGTGGTGACATATTTTTAGGCCAAGGTATTGGTTGAGATGCCACGTGGGCGAGCCATGATGCCGATGTTGTTATGACATTGCCGAGATATGATGCAGTAATGTCAGAATTTGGATAGAGGACAAGAGTCCTAGATGACATGAAGCTACCTATTTGGATAGAGATGGGACTCTTGAGGAAGTTCATCTTAATCTGAATAGTGTGAGTTGTGATAGATGTTATCCTTATAAAGGATGGAGTCCTATGAAGTAAGACTTCTAGGGGAAGTTAGACATTGATCATTATAAAAGTGAGGCACTCTCGTAGGTCTAAGGTATGTTTTTATTTGTGATGTTTTTGATTGTGAATTGTGTACTTGTTTGATATTTATGAGAGATAAGTTAACTGACTTGATCGTCGGAGTTCTCCCGGGTGGATGAACCATCACGGTATTCTCATATTCTTGTTGGCAGGTGGTTGGTTTAATCTATTCTGTTGCATACTCTCCAGCTAAGTTTTCTATTTGGTTGTGTGGTCGGAAATCAGCACCCACAATTTGGCGCTGTCTGTGGGAACTTAGTTAGAATAGATGGCCATCATCGTGTAAGATCAATGTGTCGGCGATGACGAGTTTAGCGAAGATGGAGAACGAGTCAACATTGACGGAATAAAGACCCTTCCAGAAAGGATGAATGCAAAAATAAGGGGGCCTGAGCGCTCTCGAGGAGATGAAGACGACCTTTAAGTAAAAAACACATTGGCCTAGGTGAAACAGATCTAAGATGGAAGAGCATGGCCTAGCTGGAGTAGATCCCAGATAGAAGAGCATAGCCTAGGTGAAGCGATCCAAGATGGAAGAGCATGGCCTAGATGAGACAGATCCTAGAAGATAAGATCTCATCCTAGATAATTAGGTTTGAGAAGAGAAGAGCTCGACCTAAGTGAGCAGCTTCTAGATCTAGAAGACAAGATCTCGGCCTAATTGAGTAGGTCCGAGAAGATAAGAGTTCAACCTAAGTGAACAGATCTTAGATCTTAGAGAACAAGATCTCGACCTAGATTATTAGGTCTGAGAAGACAAGAGCTCAATCTAAGTGAGAAGATACTAGAACTAAAAGACAAGATCTCGGCCTAGATGAGTAGGTTCGAAAAGACAGGAGTTCAACCTAGATGAACAATTTTGAAAAGATCAGAACTTACTGGAGGTGAACAGAGTTGAGATAAAACAAAGCTTACCTGAGATTAGAAGATCTTGATAGTAAAAGATTGTCGAGGCCTTGGAATGTGGCTTGACGAAATTTGGAGCTCAGCTCTAATGATGTCAATAACCTCAGTCGAAGTATTAATAAAATACTAGTATTGACTTTGTTCATTACAAAATGTTGTTTATGATTGTGAGATAAGACTGAAAAGATCTTAAGGCAATGTTCCTATGATGAACATGACGATTAACTTAGACTTGCCATGATGGCAGAGTTGAACTAAGTCAGCGATGTTTTAGCATGAAACATGACGATTTACTTAGAATTGCCATGATAGTAGAGTTGAAATAAGTCAGCGATGTTTCAGCACGAAACATAACGATTAACTTAGACTTGCCATGATGATAGAGTTGAACTAAGTCTGCGATGTTTCATCATAAAACAAGGCGAATAACTTAGGCTTGTCATAATGACAGAGTTGAACCAAGTATGAGCGATGTTCCCGAGGTGAACAAGGCAATTAACTTTGGCTTGCCATGACAGCAGAGTTAAACTAAGTATGAGCTATGTTCCCGAGGTGAACAAGGGGATTAACTTAGACTTGCCATGACGTTAGAGTTAAACTAAGTCAGCGATGTTTCATTATGAAACAAGGCAAATAACTTAGACTTTCCATAATGGTAGAGTTGAATTAAGTATGAGCGATGTTCTCGAGGCAAACAAGGAAATTAACTTAGGCTTGCCATGACGATATAGTTGAACTAAGTATGAGCTATGTTCCCGAGGTGAACATGGAGATTAACTTAGATGACGGCATAGTTGAACTAAGTCAGTGATATTTCAGCATGAAACATGATGATTAACTTAGACTTGCCATGACGGTAGAGCTGAACTACGTTAGCAATGTTTTAACATGAAACATGACGATTAACTTAGACTTGCCATGATGGCAGAGTTGAACTAAGTATAAGCGATGTTCCAAAGGTGAACAAGGTGAATAACTTAGACCTGCCATGATGGTAGAATTGAACTAAGTATGAGCGATGTTCCCAAGGTGAACAAGGCAAATAACTTAGACTTGCCATGACGACAGAGTTAAACTAAGTATGAACGGTGTTCCCAAGGAGAACAAGGCGATTAACTTAGACTTGTCATGACGGCAGAGTTGAACTAAGTCAAAGATGTTTCTGCATGAAACATGACGATTAACTTAGACTTGCCATGACGATAGTGTTGTACTAAGTCAGCGATGTTTCAG